AGTCTTTTTTTTTTATTGAAACAAAGTAACACATTAACAAAACAGTACCAAACATGGGAGACAAGACAACAGTTACATGACATTACAAAAGGATATAGAGTGTTTAACGAGGTTGTAGTGTGTGCAGTGTGGGTATTTCCAATTTATGCAGTCTATGAAATGCAGGAAAGGGAAAAGGAGGGGAAGTAAATAAAAAAAAAAACAATAATGATAACAGTACTATTAAAAAATCAGCTTCTTACATTTCTAGAGGTTGGTGGGAATATGCGTGGCCTCAGCCCCAGGTATTTGATTCAAATTGAAATGTTTTAAAAAATGGGTTCCATGTGTCATAAAAATCAGATAAACTATTGTTAGTGGGTGTCATTTTCTCTAATGTGATGTATTCTGTCAGAAGGTTGGTCCAGTGGTTTATGTGTATTGATTTTTTTTTTTTTGATTTCCAATTTTGAAAAGAAAGAAAGAAACTTGATGAGTTAAGGCTCCCCCATTTCTGGCGCAAATATGTGATGTCTGAATTTCCCTCCCTCGCTACATTGGCAGTCAAAAATCCTACTGTTTACAACAACCTATCTGTGTTAAAGTGGCTTCTCCACTTTGGTACAGCTCAAGTCAAAGCAAAGTAACTGGTTGGACACTGAACATGATCTGAGATTAGCTCTGTCTACTATCAGCCCAGACATTGAAACTCTTGTCAGAACTAAAGGACAACTACAGCTATCTCATTAGTTCACTGTAAAATAAAATCTTGCTTACATGTTAAGTGAAAAGAGACTATAAGGTATTATCATGTTGTGTTTGCAGTTCTGCATTCAGTTTTATACATATATAGCACCCTGTTGTTATTCGACTGTATTTATGTTGTGTTATGCAGCAGTTGTGGTGTTTATTTTTATTTTTGAGTAATACTTCAATGTAGACAGAAAAATCTGACACAAAAAAAAGCTTTATAATTAATTTATTTGAAATCCTGTACTGGTGGGTCGCGGACATGACAAGTGGGTTGCAAAGTGGGTCCCAGGGTGACACCAGTGGAGAAACACTGATCTAGTGTACATAGAATGAGTACACAATCTGAAACAGAGGAGTGGTACAATCCACAAGGTTCAGAGAATGACAACAACAGCAGCTGTAGTTTCACTGAAGCACATTTTAGAACTAAGTTCTGAAGTGTTTCATGAGGGGGGGGAAATTATTTGGTGCATTATTTTTGTTCATACCTCTATTTAACCTGGTAGCATGACAGTTCAATATGCACAACTGAGTAATAGTATGATAGATAAGTGTGAAGTAATACATTTCAGGTGTAGAAGTCACCGAATATAACTTCTGCGACTCTCAAAGCTGGAATTTCCGAGTGCCCCTGAATGCAACCATGATACTGGGATTTCCGAGTGTCTCTGAATGCAGCCATTACACAGCTGAAGCCTATTAGCGTGAGTTGTCCGTCCGTCTTCTGTCTGCAGCGTTTTTGGGTGCGTGCACTTACTGTGTCTAAAGACACATTTCAGTTTTGAATGTTTGTTGTGTTTACTTTGAGTTCTAGGCAACACAAAAAAGTTAATGGAATGAATTAATTGGGGTTTTATGAAATGAAGACTGTCTCTGTTTTCCCTGTAAAAAGTCACACTTCCAAAAAAACTATTCCAAAAAACATGGAGCCATAAGAAAAGCTTTACTTCTCTGATTTGATCCACAAACATCACAAAGTAATAATAATAATAATTAAAAAAAAAACCTCACATTCCAATACTGACAGTCTTAACACTGACCTGCTCCATTTGAACATACAAATGTTGCACTGACATTTTCAACTGTGTTATTGCTGTTTTGTTGGACACCACAAGCATGAGAGGAAAATAAAAATCATTCACTGACACAAGCCTGCAGTTTTACATACTGTGCAAACAAATCAAAACAAACAAACAAACAAAAAAACCCTGTAGTTAAGCCATACATAAGCACAGTAAACATTCCCCAGTAACACATTGCCCTCCTCCAGCGTTGCCAACTTGGCCTCTGTCTCGCTAAATCTGGCAACTTTCCAAATCCTCTTGGCGAGTTTTTTTTTTTTTTTTTGGTCAAAAACGACTAGCGACAAATCTAGCGACTTTTTCTGGTGTTATTAGAGACTCTTTTTTTATGTTTTGGAGACTCTGACGTGAAAGCACGTATCGTTACTGTCCTCAACGAGCAGCGCCGTGAGCCCCTCCCCCGTCCCAAAGCACTCACGGGCAGTCAGTCTCACTGTAGCCTCACATGGCAGTCAGAGCATAGTGGAAATCCACACCACTCCACGTCCACATTGCAAATTGACAGTTTTTTCTGTTGTCTCTTTTTGGTCCATTTAGATTGTTAACGTTGTAACTCTGCCAGAGTCTCTTTTGCTGGTCCCAGGCCCGGATAAAGGAGGAGGGATGGACGTAAAACTAGCAATTACACCCCACATAACAGTCTTTTGATTAAATTTGATATTCTAACATTTAACAATACAGTACAGGGCAAAACTGATTTATGTAATGTGGGTCTGGACAAAGCATTAAAGTCATAAAGTTATTTTGAGAAGTGATGGCCTATTTAAAAGGCAACATAAAAATAAAACAAAGCAAGCATCAACAGAATAAAGTTCATTTGTAGTTCTAAACATTTTATTGGTGTTTTTTACTCACTTCTAGTCTCTCTCAAGACGTTATTCCTCTCTCCTACAGCGTCCATTACAATTACTCACAAATAGACAATTATGCAGATTAGGCGATGACAATTTAGCAACTTCTAGCGAGTTTTATGACAGCCAATAGCTACTTTCCTTACTGAGTTGGCAACACTGCCCTCCTCATCATCACACATATTACTCTGTCTGCCCTACATTTTCAGCATGCAGCTGATATTTCATAGGGATTCTCTTACACTTTAAGCAACATTTCACAATTTAAATTGTGATTTATCATTGAGATTTTAACATCTGAGAAATTGTCTTCTACCAAAATTTGTGCTCTCCCTGTAAACACAGGAAACATACAGTAAATGTTGTGAAATGGCCTCCCGGTATGCTAAAGACTTTCAGCAGACAATGGAGTCATACACTACTAATATATACTGTACATAAGTTAGAGGAAATAACACCAAGAAACGGAACTGCTGAATACTGACATCCAGTAAATGTAATAAATATGTTAAGAAAAGTGCATGCAACTCCCCAAAACAATCTTCTTTGCATCAGGTGCATAGGCCGAGGAGTGATATCACTAGAGTTAAAAGACTAGCCTGCACACTAAATTCACGCTCCACAAAATCATTTTTATCCAGGCCAAGCTACCACGCATTCAACATTAAGTCTTTATCAGGTGTTTTAAGACAATGTGGAAACATTGTTGGCATGGTAGCTTGGCCTGAATAAAAATCATTTTTGGTAAGCATGAAATCAGTGTGCGGGCTATAGTCTTTTTACCATACAGTAAACGTGAGGAAAAGCATACATGTAAAAAATCTATATATATATAGCAGATATGGCTGCAAAAAATAAATAGCAGAATGTGACACACTGGTCTGTCTTTAATCACCACTCATACTCCTTAATGTGAGCAACTGCCATCTGCATTTTTCCTTTTTATGTAGCTTACTGATCAGATCTTGAGGCAAACTGTGGGATTCATTGGAGGAAACTGCCAGGGTGCAGCTTTGGTGATTGACATTTTTTTCGACAATGTGGTATATAATTTCACATGCGTGTGCTCTTGCTCACGTGTAAATACCCATACAACTGAAGGGGTTTGATTCTACAAATGCAATAAACTGCTGCTATTTTAAGTATATCGTTATTTTCAATAACAACTGATGTACTTTGTAAACCTGATTAACTTATGTTAACTGGATGCTGGCTAATGCTGCCTCAGTGCAACTGAAAATTACAACAGAGTGGCTGAAATGGTGTAAAATAGTAGTGTAGGTCATGTATTCGCATCAGATCCTAATTTCACAGAGGAAAAGGAAACGCAAAAAGCATTTGTCAGATTGAACAAAAAGCTTTTTAGACTGTGGAGCGAGTTCTAACAAGACAAACCTAAATACTAGTTCTGACACTCATAAAACTTGATTCAAAATGTCAACAAAGTGCTTCACGGACTTAGTCCCTTTGTTGGGACTGAAATTCAAGTTTATATTCTCTGAAAACAGGGGGTGTGACAGGGGTGCAGTGGGTAGAGTAGTCGCCTCTCAACCAGGAGGTCGAAGGTTCGAATCTCAGTGCAGCAGTCCACATGTCAAAGTTTCCTTGGGCAAGACACTGAACCCCCCCATTACCCCCAATGGTTAGAGCCATCGGCTGAGGTGGCGCCACAGCTGGCTGCCATCGGTTCTCTACCAGAAACAAATTCCTTGTGTGTAACATACTTGGCCAATAAAGGTGATTATCCTTATTCTAAACTCAAAGATAAAATTTCTCCAAATTTTGTTAATGTTAATAGTTGGATTCTGCTAAGTTTAGCTAAAATATTACTATGTGTTCAGACATGCAGACAGTGTCTGTACTTCTCATTCAACCTGGGCATGTTTTACTATTTACATACTCAGCTCTGATTGGACAGGTGTTTTCTGTGGCATTACCTAATGTGTTGCTCCAATGCACCATAAGACAGTTTCATTGGTGCTTGTTCACCTTTGCACCACTGATGCCCATGCCCCCTTGTGTCTTCCATGGACAATGACTGACATGTGGCTGTTTTCTTTGTGTCTTTGTAGCTGCATGAGTGAATATACTGCTTCAATCTAGAGAACTATGGGAAAAATCCACTCTGAATCTCCCAGGTATTTTGCTCATTTGCGTTATACACACACACACACTTGCCACACTTGCACACATATATACACACAGAGCCCACTGTCCATCAGTCAGCTTTGTCCTTCTTCCTTGGTGTGACTTTACTTGCCATGACAGAACCTACTGCTCCAACACCTCCTGTTACCATAGAGACGCTCCCTTTGACCAATCCTGCACTGGCTGCCGGCACACTGGTCACAGCTGTCTTGGTGAGTTCAAAACTTTTAGTTCCTACCCATGCAACACCCCCTAGAGTTGCACCAACGACATTTCGTGTCATGCTGAACAGACCACCGCCCACTCTCCACACGACTCCTCCATCTGGCCTGGGGTGGTCCTTATCTGTGTCTGAGACAGACAATGATAGAGAGAGGCAGAGAAACAAATACAGAGGGAAGAGAGAGAAACAAGAGAGAGAACATACCATGTTAAAAATGTTATGATGGCAGGGACAACGTCTGCTTTCTATTCTTTCACAGGCTGCATCACTGATGGATTTTAAAATATATTTTGTAATGAAGCCTTAATTAATAACTATTGTAAGCACACAGGATACTCACCAGTTCTCTTTCTTCAGTTTTATAATATCCTACAGTGCACAAGCATTGAATGACAGGATATTAAGTCCACATGCTGTGGTTTGGCTGATATTAATTTATTCATCAACACAGTTAGGGCAGGCGTTATTGGTGCAATTTCACCCCCTGCCAAGGTACAAAACACACAAGGAAAACAAACTGGAAAACAAAAGGTCTGGCAACACCTGCAGTGTTCCGTGGAACTTTAATGCAAAGATAAAAAACCAGCGTGTTTCAGCATAAAACCTTTGTCAAGGTCTATTGAAAATACACAACAAGAATTTACACATATAGTAAAGGTATAGGAAAAAGATCCTTTAACCTTCCTCTTGTGTTAGGGTCGGCACCAACCCATTTTCAGTTTTAAAAGCATAAAAGTACCAAAAAAAAATTAGTTTATTGCTTCAAGGCTTTTTGACTTTGTCAGTAACCTTTATCTCAACAAAATAAAAAAATAAAAAAATCTTACCAAATTATAAAATGCTCCTACTGAAATTGTAGCGTTTGTGTTGTTAGGGTCGGTTTCTACCCAGTCCTAAAAATAAGATTATAAATCACTAAAAGAGTCAAAACTAAAATTATAAGTGCAATTTCAGCCCAGACACTGACAGCCAGCTCCTCTTCCAATCATGTGCTGTGTTTACCTGGGCATTTCTGGGCATGTCCAGACCTGTGACTTCAGTACATAATTGGTGACTTGCAGAGTGTATATCTCACAATTTGGAGCATGCAAAAATGAGAAAAAGATTTTCAGTGAGCCAAGTTCTGGATATTATTTTAGGAGAAAATGAGGAAGAAAACACAGAGCAACAAAGCGATATGGATGAACTGGTATCTGAAGAGGAAGACAACGTGGAGCTTCCAGAGGACACAGACACATCTGGGTCTGATGAGGAGGTCACCAGTGGGGAAGTTACTCCAGCAGAAAGATTCAAGTCCAAAGATGGAAGGATCCTTTGGAGCTCAGTAGCTCATGATTCACTTG